TCCCTTCCTGAAAAATGGATGAATTTGATCTTTTAAGTCTGGTCTACTAAAGCAAACAATTTAGTGACACATTAACGGAAATAATAGTACCGAAATAACACTTAATTCTTGGACTCCTGTTTTATTTTCATTCATTCTTTAAGATGCGAGCCTTGCTGTTCTGGCTAGCGTTTACTGTCTATCTAATTGCCCTTAAGATGGTGGTGGTGAGCTAACTATTTGAACTGTTGCAATTGATGTGATGGAGGTAAATCAAAAGCACAGCTAGGAAGGGAGTTCTAGGATTTTGACCTAATCACAGTCAGGAACAGTTATTTAGTTCCAATCCAAGAAGATGCATGACTTACAGAAGATCCTGCAAGTCAAGGTATTGCAATGCATTTGCTGTGTTTGATCTTCTAGCATGTGGAGTTCATGGGCTCAGAAGGAAGCTTGGTAAATTGCTGAAATGCATACTGTAGATTATACATAGTGCTGCCCAATGCTCCGTGGCACAGGAGTTAAATGTATCCTTATGTTCATTCATGAGATGTGGGCATTGAATGAGTGAGCATTTGTTGCCTATCCCTAATTGTCCTTACACTGAGAAGCTTGCCTGATGCTTTCAGAGGGTAATTCAGAGTCAAGCACATTGCAGTGAGCCTGGACTCATGTGCAGGCCAGACCAGGTAAGGATGGCAGATTTCCTTTCTTCCTAAAGACATAATTGAACCAGATGGAAATTTATGATGATCCACATTGGTTTCACTGTCACAGTTTAGACTTGTATTAATTTCCAGACTTTTATTGAATCCAAATTTCACTATCATTAGTTTGGGACTCTGGATTATTACTCCACTGACATTACCATTCCACACTATCTCACAGTGACAGATAGTGACAGTAATGAGAGTAAATTAGTACTGAACACACAAATACGCAGACTACTCAACACATGACTCTTTTAGGATGGCAGTCTAGTTTTCTGAGAGTGGAGAGCTGGTAATTGGCCAGGATACATCTCAGTAAAATTTCCAAGCCTTCACTGTCAAAACCTGATGGGCACTGGTTCTGCTTGTTCTCTTTCATTCTGGCAATACTTTCTGGCTGTGTCTCAGAGAGATTACTGCACCTGGTGTTGCACCTGATATTGCCAGTAATGTGGTCAGTAACATTTATGTTGGCAAAAAGCAGGCATCCATGCCATCATGAGTCATATATAAACCCTATTAAGTAGCAACCTATAGAATTGATTGCCATTACAACAATGAATGTAAAAGCACGGGAGCAATTACCCTCTACCTCCAGAATTCCTATTATTGAGACTGGATGACATGTTTCTACCTATGGCAGAACAAAGTTTTACTTGGAGATTACAAAAGTTCGGCTATATCAACTGCCTTGTATTCCCAAGATGATCTGCCTCAAATACTCGGATGACTTTGTTTTTTACAGAATTTGGGCTAGGCATCTCTCGATGACATTAGATATTGAACTTGGTAACTGACAGAAGATCCTGATAACCATAAAAACTAAAGGAGAAAGACTTTCATTTTGCTAAGCTTATGTTGCAATGTAAGACCTTAATTTCCTCTGTTCTCTCAAACAGTGCAATTTCTGTGCAAGATGTTTGAGTTAATTCAGTTTTGCTGCAAATTGGTATACAAATACTGAGACCATGCTTCTCTGATATTCCTTAGAATTATGTTTTTCAGTTTTTTAGTATAAAGACATGAACTTGCTTGGAGGACTGATGGTTGCTAGTGCCATGCATGTCATATGTTTTATGTGGCTGCTGTATATAATTTGCATTCAGATCAGTACACTGTTGGTGCTAACTAGAATATGTTTATTGAAGCCTAGAGTATGACCAAGTTCTTGAAATAACTGCGGTATGCTGAAAGCATGATGAGTACAGTGAATTGCTAAACACCAATTAATTCTACGCTCATTCCACTTACAGAGCATTTCATTATTATCAAGATTCAAATGTGATAATTCCTTTCCTGTAATGATGATGTATGTAATTCACCAATCAGATCATTTTTTTCTGTATACGGTAATCTAATGACCTTTTCCTTGCAATCAAAACTAATAATTTACACACAGAATTAATTGCAACTGTTAATGAAGTGACTAATTTTTTTTTAATGAATGGAGCATCCACCCAGATAAAAAGAATTCTGTAAGCTTTGCTGAGACTTTACATTTTTATCAGCATTTTAAGAAACCAATTTATACAGGAAAGATAATCACCCTTTTATGACTGATTCTGATTTGTTCTTTCAACTATTACTGAATGTGAGTTCTTTTTTTCCACATTGCACAGTTATCACCATAATTCTGAATGGAATTAAGAATTAGTAAAACGACAACATATTTTTACATTTAGAATATTGTCGGAAAATGCTTGTTTTTAAAAATTATTTTGGTGTTGGAATCCTTCTTGCATAGTCAAGAAATGAAATAATTTAAGCCACTTGGCTACTATGCAGAATAGACATACCAGAGCCAGTATTAAAGGCATATCACAAACAATAGAGCTTTATACAGCGACATGATGACTGAGTGGTATTGTTGCCGGAGTGCTAATTCAGAGATCCAAAATATGTTCTAGGCTTCAAATCCTGCCATGGTAGCTGGTGAAATTGGAATTCAATTAAAAAAAAGAGTTTAATGATGACCACAAATTCATCATCGATTTTCAGAAAAACCCATAAGACCATAAGACATAGGGGCAGAAATTAGGCCATTAGTCCCAACGAGTCTGCTCTGCCATTTAATAATGGCTGATAAGTTCCTCAACCCCATTCTCCCACTTTCTCCCCATAACCCTTGATGCCCTTGATAATCAAGAACCTATCTATCTCAGTCTTAAATGTACTCAATGACCTGGTCTCCACAGCCTTCTGTGGCAGTAAATTCCATAGATTCACCACTCTCTGGATGAAGAAGTTTCTCCTTATCTCTGTTCTAAAAGGTCTTCCCTTTACTCTAAGGCTGTGCCCTCGGGCCCTAGTCTCTCTTACCAATGGAAGCATCTTCCCAACATCCACTCTGTCCAGGCCATTCAGTATACTGTAAGTTTCAATTAGATCCCCCCTCATCCTTCTAAACTTCAATTAATATAGCCCCAGAGTCCTCAAACGTTCCTCATATGTTAAGCTTTTCATTCCTGAGACCATTCTTGTGAACCTCCTCTGAATCTGCTCCAAGGCCAGTCCATCCTTCCTGAGATATGGGGCCCAAAACTGCACACAATACTCCAAATGTAGCCTGACCAGAGCCTTATAAAGCCTCAGTAGTACATCCCTGCTTTTATATTCAAATCCTCTCAAAATAAATGCCAACATTGCATTTGCCTTCCTGACTACTGACTCAACCTGCAAGTTTACCTTGAGAGAATCCTGGACTAGAACTCCCAAGTCTCTTTGCACTTCAGACTTCTGAATTTTCTCCCCATTTAGAAAATAGTGCATGCCTTTATTCTTCTTACCAAAGTGCATGATCTCACACTTTCCCATGTCGTACTCCATCTGCCACTTCTTTGCCCACTCTCCTAACCTGCCCAAATCCTTCTGCAGCCTCCCCACCTCCTCAATACTACCTGTCCCTCTACCTACCTTTGTATCATCTGCAAACTTAGCCAGAATGCCCACAGTTCCTTCATCTAGATCATTAATGTATAAAATGAAAAGTTGTGGTCCCAACACTGACCCTTGCGGAACACCACTTGTCACCAGCTATCATCCTGAGAAAGACCCCTTTACCCCCACTCTCTGCTTTCTGCCAGACAGCCAATCTTCTATCCATGCTGGCACCTTGCCTCTAACACCATGGGCCCTTATCTTACTAAGCAGCCTCCCATGTGGCACCTTATCAAGGGCCTTCTTGAAGTCCAGGTAGATAACATCCATTGGCTCTCCTTGGTCTACCCTGTTCGTTACTTCCTCAAAGAATTCTAACAGATTTGTCAGGTATGACTCCCTGTGATGAAACCATGCTGACTTTACCCTATTTTACCGTACACTTCCAAATATTCAGAAATCTCATCCTTTACAATGGACTCCAAAATCTTACCCACGACTGAGGTTAGGCTAATCGGCCTGTAATTTTCCGTCTTTTGCCTTACTCCCTTTTTAAACAGGGGTGTCACATTAGCGATTTCCCAGTCCTCTGGGACCCTCCCTGACTTGAGCGATTCCTGAAAGACCATCTCGTTCACTAATGTCATTTAGGGAAGTAAACCACTATTTTTACCTGGTCTGGCCTAGACCCACAGCAATGTAGTTGACTGACCTCTGGGCAATTAGGAATGGGCAATAAATGCTGACCTAGCCATGGGATGCCCTCATTCTGTGAATAAATTTAAAAAAAAACACAGTAAGGTAGAGATATGTTTGTCCATTAATTCTCTCCTGTGCAGGCATGATGCAATTAAACAATGTGATTAAGTCCAATTTAGGTATTTACCTTGCCACAAGAGTATTTTGGCTACCTATGGGCATCAGTTGGTCTCTGAGGGAGAAGCTCATCCTCCAGCCTAAAAGTGTAGACTTAATTAGAAGGAGAAGGGAAGACAACCCTGCGCCTTGCCAAGTCATGCACCACCCATTCTCCCTTCACCTCTAATCCATCCCTGGAATGGAGTCAGTAAATTCCATACAATCTCTCAGTAAATACTTTATGAATCTCAGGATATCTTTAAGAAGAATATTATTATCTGTGTGTCAACCCTTATTGTATTCACATTTACAACATCATATTCCATCTGCCCAACACTCCAATCACTCTGGGCATCAATAATAAATACTATTACTTTGAAATATACTGATGACTTTGCGGAATTTATGAAATAACAACAATAAGGATTTACTTGCACAAATAATGGCTAACTTCTGTGGTAACAGTGTGATTGAAAATTAAGCTTTACACCTAGTGTATAAAAATCATCCTTGTATGCAGAAGAACCACAATTCAGAGGATGACAACTGAGTTACTTTTGTTGATTTAATTCTCAGGTGTATGATCGAGTTCCCTGTCACAGAGATTGCAGTAAATTTAGCTGGGTGGCTGAACCATGGTCTGATTGCAGAATCAACAAAAAGTCAATGCATAAATGTGGAGAAGGTGTTCAGACTCGGAAAGTGAGGTGCGTAGAAGGATTTCACAAATGCTTGAATATCTGAGATTTTTCTGGCTTTTAGCCTCTTCCATCTCATCTTTTGACATTTTACAGTAGAAATGTCATTTTGTTTTGGAGACACCGTTTTCTGAAGAACTAAAGAGTTCTATGTATTTTTACAATGTTCTAATAAGTTGTAATCCTTTATTGAATGAGTTTTAATATCAAGAAGGTTGATTGTTTTATACCCAGCAACATTAACTCTTTTTGTCCAAAACATTTTCCTAGGTTTCTGAACTGTTCTGATAATAGACATGGCTCTAATTCTGCTTATAAGCATACACATTGGGGCCATTCTTTTGAAGGAATATGAAGTAAATACATTTTATTTAACATTATCTTTTCATGCCCAAAAGATTCCTTCTGACTTTCCAAAAATGTGATACATTTATCAAATTTTAAGTTTTTTTTATTATATATTATATTTTCTTTAAGTATTTTATGTATGTCCTCAGATAATATGCAATTATTATTATTCTGTATGGTAGTTTCCTTTGGTCATTTTTCAATGAATTCTTGTCCAGGTTTCCAAGAAATAATTCTGCATACCTCAATCCACATACAGTTGGCCATGCAAGGCAAACCCATTTTAGTTCTCTGCTTCTTTCACAGGAGTGTTGGGACCTGCAGCAATGTACAAGAGCCTCTTACCATTTCAGTCATTGGTTCTGTACTAATGGAATATGATACCCTACATGATGACTCTCTGCCCTATGCCATTCTCCCTTAATGCCTCTTTTGAACCAATTAGCCAAACATTCTGGTCTTCAGTCTCAATAATTCCCTTACACTGTTGTAAAAGAGGTCAATTATTATTTCCATGCATCCTTTCTCTCTTTCTTTGAAGTTAATCAAATAAGCCTTTCCAGTAGATATTAAACACAATTTTTTAAGGTATCTAGGCAGTGATTGCTCAGGACAGACTCTCTTTCATAACGGATCTTATTTATGGTGAGTTGGAATCATTGAACAGAACTAGTTCATATTTGGAGATAGTAAGAACTGCCGATGCTGGAGTCAGAGACAACACAGTGTGGAGCTGAAGGAACACAGGAGGTCAGGCAGCATCAGGGGAGCAGGAAAGTTGACTTTTTGGGACTGTGTTCCTCCAGTTCCACACCAAATTCATATTTGGTATTACCTTATTTGATCAGATCATGATTATTGGTGCTGTCATGTAGGGCAAGAAGGCTGGAAATGTTGTGATGTTATCATGTTGTAGGATGGACAGGGGATTAATAGAATGTTCCTTTATTTGATGGTGCAAGGACAGGTGAAGTATCTAAGACACCTGAGTCAAAGCTAGATTGCATTACACAGAAGGGATAACAGACAAGATGTGCTCTGATGCTCCTGACACTGAGGAGTTCTGTGCTGTAGATCATGATGATGCTCTCTTCCAAGCAGTTAGGGCTACCTCCTCAGCAGTGTCAGTCTCCAAAGCTTTTCGCAGAGCACAATGTACTTAACTCTGATTGAGGCCTTTGTCTCTCACTGGCAGTTTTGCTGACTCATTTTCAAAGTCAGAGTTACAAAAGTCCAAATTTTCTGTGAGCTATTTATGTTTAAAGGTGATAGATGATATAAAATTGCAGTATTGAAATAGCAAAAGCTGACTATGCCAGAAAAAGGTAGTATAATACATTTCATATATCTTGTTGGTTGAAAAGCTTGACTACTTACCCCGATAATAAAAACTTGTTTTGTCTCCCCAGATGTGTGAATAACACAGCTGACAGGCTTCAAGAGAGTGTGGACGATGAATTGTGTAATTATGATGAAATGCCCATTGGAGCTCGGGAATGTTCTCTCCACTGTCCAAATGACTGTGTAATGTCTGATTGGGGCCACTGGAGTACTTGCCCAAAAGTTGGTATTTTATTTTGAATGCATTTGATAAATTTACAACATTGAATGTTGCAGAAATGACAGTCATTGATGTACTTAGAACTCGCAAACAAAATTGACATCAGTAATTTTTTGTGCAAGGAACATTTAGTCTTCATATCATTAGTTGAGATAGAAGTTGCCCAATAAAATGTAAATAACATGTGCGCATATGCCCTGTGTAAGTTCCTGCTTTCAACTAGTCATGCAACTTGCACCTAAGTAAGCCATCATCTCTAAACATGCAACTTACACAGCTGATCAAATCCAAAGCAAAATAATGGAATATCAGTCAGTCTTGTTGATTGTTTTACTTTATAAACTCAGAACCAACATTCCTTCTTAATATTCTTGTCTGATTGTTGAAAGATGTTATTATTGTTTTTGCATGTGACAAATTCAAATTGTGAGTACTTATATCTTCAAAAACTCTTAATTAACTAACAAAAACCACAACAATTTCAGATGTGATTTGAGTGCATTGATTCCTTAGCATCAAAATTTAAATTTGCCCTTCTTATGGGCAATTCAAGATGTGCAATAACTGCTTACCTTTTCATTAATACTCACATTGATGACTAAATATTTTAAGAAAGTGCCAGATCATTGACGATTAAGTATCTCTTTTAAGTGAAAGCTAGAGATAATGAACATAGAACATAGAACATAGAACTGTACAGCACAGTACAGGCCCTTTGGCCCACAACATTGTGCCGAACTTTTACCCTAAACCTAAGGTCTATCTAACCTCTACCCCTACCTTATACTATTATCCATATGCCTATCTAATAGCCGCTGACACTTGATAGAATTGGTTCCTTTTTCTTATGCTCTTAAATTATTTGAGCTGAATATTGAAACAATATTGTTATATCCAGTATTGTTGTATTATAACGTCACTGACTTCCACTTTTAAGATTTAACATTGCAATTGGTTGGAAAACTAAGATGAAAAGCAGAAATCTGCTGAGTGAATACCAAAAGCAAAACAAAAAAAAATCAACCCTTTTGTACTGTCAGAAAGTAATTAATTTAAAAGTGTTATTCATTCAAGAACTGACATTTCAGTTCCTTTCTAAACAGAAGAGAAATGTAATTAGTAACTACAAGCTGGTGCAGTTTTTAAATGGTTTCTAAGGCTAGTCAGTGCTTAAACATCTTATTATGATAAGTTCTGTTTCCCCCTGTGATCTTGTAATTGTAGCTGGGAGCGACTAAATGCCAATATGTTAATATATTGTGAGTAGCTGACTAGAGCAGTTTTAAATACTGTTGAGTTCTGTTGTCTTATTAATTATTGTCTGTTTGTCATTTGTACCTACTCAGAGTAACAGAGTGCTTTAGGTAACTAGTGATTGCCGCACTCCTTTACTGAGTCCCATCTGCTTTAATGTGCTAACTTTAAGAGGAGCAGTCACTTTCACTTACATGTTTTAGCGGATATTGTTAAAAATCAGATACACAAGTAGACTGAAGCACTGCGTAATAGGCTAGCTAATGATAAAGAACAGTCATTTAAAATTTTACTTTCCTGTTTTTAATTATATTATAGTACACTGAGGTCAAAGGTAAAAATAACTGGGGCACATTTAACAACTTTCATAAGAGTGCGCCATTCATTCAATAAATAACAGATAATTAATGATAAACTGCTTTTGTTCAACTGTCTCTGTTAATTATTTAGAGTAACATTTTTAAAAACGCTGACCTAACCCTAGTAATCTACTGAAGATATTTTTGTGGTATCCAACCGCAATAAGCAAAAATGGCACAAATTTCAGCCAAATGACCAACTCAAGATATCAATGAGATTGCAGCAGTTCATTGCTGGAAAACATATTACAAAGTATTTACAACACAGAGACAGCCATTCAGCCCAAAAAAGTGCTCCTTATAATCTCTCTTCCAATCTTTAGCATCTAACTTCAAAAGCGTATCTGTCTAATCCATTCTCCCTCATAGATTTATCCAGTCTGCCATTGAATTAGTGTATGGTATTCACCTCAACTTTATCTACATGCTGTGTGTTCCATGTTCTAATCATTCTGTGGGTAAAACATTTCTCTGAATTTGTTGCTAGATCCATTTGTGACCATATTAACTGCTTTTACTTGCATGTAGAAAGCACCTCTTTATGTATACATTCCCAAACACTTTCATAAACTTAAAGATCTCCAGATACACGTGAACAGCACAATTTTCAAGTGCATCTCCAAACCATGCACTATCCTGATTAATAACGATATTGCTGCTCCTTCAGGGTCACTGGAACAAAGCTCTGGAACTCTTGTGTTAACAGTATTGTAGGTGTACTGACAACAAATGAACTGCAACTGTTCAAGAAAGGAGCTCACCAAAATTTTCTCAATGGCAATCAGGGATGGGCAATAAATGCCAGGCTAGCAAGTGTAACCTCATGACAGACAATATATAAAGAATTGTTCGCAGTTCTCAAAATGTAGCCTAATAGATTTTGGTATAAATTGAACTCATTAAGTATCTCCCTTTAAAAGTTAAGATTGATGATATTTTTCAAGGTTTTATTAGACTTTTTGCCACATTTGCTACTCGTGCATCTCTACTCCTGGCCCACTCCGTTCATCTATCCCAGTTAGAAATTAATTCTTTGCAAATTTTGTAGCCTCATTATTTTTCCTAGCAAAATGTGGAACTTCATATGCATCTATCTTAAAGTTGCCAATTAGAAGCCCATTCTGCAGGTTTATTTGCATCTCCCTCTAATTTGTTGCAATCTAAATAAATCTGCTAGATTACCCATATCTACCCTTTAAATCACTACTTCAAGAGTTTAACAAAGTTGACCACCTTTGCTTTTAGATCCTTGCTGTTTCTTCTTAGATTTTCAATTTCTCGATGTTTTTACACTACATTGTTAAATAAGAATTCTATTATCTTTTCTGTGACGAATATAGCCATGTTCTATTTCCTGTCTCATTTCACAGAAATAATGATTTTTTTAAACAATATGTTATTATGCACCAATACAATGAAATTGGGTTTGAGACTGTCTAATTTGATTAGATAATGAATTATCTCATTCCTGTTATAAGTGTATTTTTTAATTGTCTTCTCACATTTGTCTTCCTGTAAGTATCAAGGCAAAGTTATTATTTTACCTTCTCGCTGTCTTTATCCATGAGCTTATCTTATGTAAAACTTTGTGGTCTTATCCCTGTCCTGAATTTTCTATTGGCTTTATGTGACTTGGAAAACTTTACTATTTCCTTTTACATCTGTTGTTAATTTAGTTTTGTTCTTTTTTGTCTTTTGTTATTTCTCATTTATTCCTGTTTCTTGTTCTTTCCCTTGTTACATTTGTGTTTAGTATATTTCTTTTGCTCTTGTTTAGTGTAGTTAACTAGCGGGTTTGTTTTTACATTTTCGTGGGATATGTTTCACCTGGAAGCTTGTTGATTGGCACTTTAATTGTTTCCCTTTATTGTTTTATTTCTTTATTTGTCACCAATGTTTTCCCTTTTATTTTCTATATGGGCATTCTCATTCTTTTGATTATTTTTTCAATATTCATTTCATTTATGCTTTTTCTTAATCTTTAACTTAAACGTGGTGTTTGGGAATTTGATAATGTTGACATGCATGACTTGAAAAGAGTGCATTCCAGTGATGAAACTGTTGGAAATGGAATAGGATGAAAATATAGGGATAAGGATGGACAGATGTCTGTGGCGGACTCATCATAAATTACATTCATTTGAATACAGAGGCCTTGGAAGATGATAAGGCTGAGGAGATGGTTCATGTGGCATTTGGTTTAGAGAATTTACATTCAGGGTGATGTTTAATGCTAATGCACTTGGGCATTCTGAGGTCAAGAAAGAAGTGGTGTTAGGTCTATTGAAGAGAATTAAGGTAGGTTAGTCCTCAGGATCCGATGGGACTTACCTCAGGTTATTGAGAGAGTCAAGAGAGGAGATTTCTGGGGCCTTGACCAAGATATTTGTATCTTCTCTAGCCACTGGAGAGGTCCCTGAGGACTGGTGAGTAGTTATTTTGAGAATGTTGTTCCTCTGTTCAAGAAGGGAAATAGGGATAATCCAGTAAATTATTGACTGGTGAGTCTTACATTGGTGGTTGGGAAGCTATTGGAGAGGATTCTTAGGGATAGGGTCTACACGCATTTGGAAAAGCATGCCTTAATTAGAGACACTCAACATGGCTTTGTACGAGGCATGTTATGTCATAGTAATTTGATTATTTTTTTTCAAGGAAGTGATGAAGGTGATCGGTGAGGGTAGAGCAGTGGATGTTTTTAAAATGGATTTTATTAAGGCTTTTGACAAGGTCCCTCGTGGTAGGCTCATCCAGAAGATTAAGATACATGGGATCTACAGTGGCTTGGCCATTTGGATTCAGAATTGGCTTGCCAATAGTAGGCTGAGGATAGAGATGAAAGGGTATTTTTCTGGTTGGAGGTCCATGGCTAGCAGTGTTCTGCAGGGATCCATACTGGGGCCTCTGCTGTTTGTGATTGATATAAATAACTTGGATGAAAAAGTAGTTGGGTGGGCTAGTAAGTTTGCAGACAACACAACAATTAGGGGAGTTGTGGATAGTGTAGAAGGTAATCGAAGGATACAGCGGGATATAGATCAGTTGCAGTTGTGGGTGGAGAAACAGCAGATGGAGTTGAATCCGGATAAGTGTGAGGTACTGTGCTGTGGGAGATCAAATGCTAAGGGAAAGTATACGGTTAATGGCAGAACCCTGAACACCATTGATGTACAGTGGGATCTTTGGGTCCTAGTCCATAGCTCCCTGAAAGTGGCCGCACAAGTAAATAGTGTGGTCAAGGAGATATATCGCATGCTTGCCTTTATTTGTCGGGGAATTGAATGCAAGAGTTAGGAAGTAATGTTGCAGCTTTATATAAGTTTGGTTAGGGCGCACTCAGAGAATTGCATTCAATTCTGGTCGCCATATTACAGGAAGCATGTGGAGAC